AGTCTCCTTAGCGGCGAATCATGATTGTCGGGTGGTTGCTTTCCGTCGGAAGATTGAACAGGGCATTGGACGGGGAATAGACGGGGTACACGGGATCAGAAAGCTAAAAGACTGAAGTGGCTCACCATCGTTTGACATTTCGCACTTCGTTCCATGGTGCTCCAATATGAAAACAATTTCGGAGAGGGAACAAACCAGTGTTGGCCCTTAAGGCCTTAACAGCAGTTTGGAAACTCCCTAAGGGTTACTAAGGCCTAAGGCTTAGGATAAGGCCTCTATTTAAGGCCTTAAGTTCAAAATTTCCCACACTCCCTTATATCTAAATTCCGCCTTCTGGCTGCGTGTTGGCAAGATACCGCCCATTTTAAGGAGAAGTAACAGGTCCCATTGGCTCACTGCTCTTCATGAAAGGTTAGGATCCTGCTGAACGCAGCATTCACATTGGTGGGTTTTCGGAATTTCTTGCATCTCTGAACCTTGGTGAAAATAGTTCATGTCAAGGGATTGGAAGTCCAGTCTGTAGAAGCCATGGGTGGAAGCAGAAAGCCAAAATCTGCAAGCACGCTACATACTATGGGAAAGTTCGGCCCGGGCCCTAAGGCCTCTAAGGTCTGGAACAAATTTCCCTGGAGCTCTAAGGCTTACTCTAAGGCCTTCCTAAGCCTTAAGCCGGTTAAGGCCTTAGGCCTTAGGGCCAACACTGGAACAAACCTGTTTTGGCAAGTTGGTGATTCAACGTTTCAAACATGATTCGTGGTCATAGAGCGTCAAATTTATCCACTAACATGTCTTGGCTAGTATATCGGTTAGTACACGCGCTTGTCACGTCTTGCGTATGCAACGTAATCAATTCGCGCGAAAGCTGGGTTCGACTCCCAGGTCGAGAGTTCTTTTTTCCCCCTTTTTTTTTTTGCTCAAAATTTCCATTTTCCTGTGAATATGCATCTTTCTTGCTCCGTCGGTTTGTTTCTGCGAGTGTCAATGAACAGGGTAATGCCTCGATTTCAATGCTGAGAAACATGGGCCGAAATGCCGGCCCGGGTGACGTGCAACTCCTTCTCTCCTTCTCCATTTAAGACTGGCTTTGAGCTCATGCAGTTGCACCCAAGACTTGAGCAAAGCTTGAGATAGTACGCGTGTCCCCCAAATTTCGGGCCGTAACCCACTGGCAATTGATCCTAAAACACAAAACTCTCCCAGTTCCAGGCTGCAATCCGATTTGGCGATTCTCGACCACCGGGTCGAAAATAGCTCCCGGGCAGTCCACCGCAATGCGCCGCCTGACTCTTGTCTTGAGCTAGAATCTTCAATCCGCCCAAGCTCGAAGGGTCTCTCGCCCCGTCTGACAGGAAAGCTTATCCGTGATTCTGAACGACTATCTTCAGAAAATCACGAAGGCTATACTATAGAGGCTGAAACGAGCTAAGGAAAGCTTTGAATTCGATGATACTCTGAATGAAATTCAAAGCCAAAACAATGCCTGAAACTTTCACCCGCGGTTGTTCGGTCGCGATCTGAAGGAGCTTTCCGGTGCGCCCTCACGCCTTTCAGTCGTAGTTTAAAATACAGTGTCTAACCTTCCTGCAGATAGTCTGACCGCTTATTGAAGCGTGGAATACCGAGGCGCGACATCCAATCTAATCCTGTGAGAGGAACCGCGGATGCTTGTCCGGCCGCGCTGGTACCAAGTCAAAATACCTTCTCTCTCTCACCCAGCGGCCATCATCAATCCAAAGGGCGGCGAAGTTCAGTTCTACTTATATCGCGACTGAATATACCGCCACTTCTTGATTCGCCCCTGATGCTCGGACAAGGCACCCGTAGGTCTGGATCGCGAACCTACAATGCAGATATTCCGACATTTACCATATCTTTGTCGAGCGCCGCTCTCCGCCAGCCATACACCCACATTCCTGCTATTTTCGGACTGGATGTCCCGCTGGAAGCACTGGCGCGCGAAAGCTTGTTTGACCGCCAGCGCTGCCTATCGATGGGATCGCCGTACTACGAAGGACTATTCCCACTTTCGGCATCCCCCCGCTGATATCCCAACGCATCTGCCATTCTGGGCACAAGTATAACAGCTATGGCTTCTGTTTGCCTTGAAGTATAATTAGCCGCCGAGATTGGCTTGGATTCGGAAGCGCCCAGTGGCTTGGAACACCGAGTGGCTTTGGAATATCCATATTTTTGACCAAGCTTCATCTCACCTTTTGTGGTCCAGAGGTGCCTTATCACTGCGTGCTGCGCTAACCAAATCCCGCCCTTCATTTCGATTTAAATTCTACGCCACCAACTCTGATTTTCTGATATGCAGCAACGGAATCTTTTACACAAGTCCAGGCTGGACCCACTCTAGAGCGAGAATTGCAGTCAGAGATCCTCCCTACCCCCGCCTTCCTGCAACTCTTCCCACTTCCCATTAACCCGAATCTATTTCCTGAATTTACCACATCCATCTTCCACTGTACATCTTCCGCCAGACACAACTCAGAATTTGATACCCTACCGCGTCTGGCACTTGGCATATCCTCTTCCGGTGCCTTCTGAAAGGCCACGCCCCCGCGATGATCAGATTCACCGCGCGCCGCGCGTCGCAAGCGGTCCCACCGACGTCATCCATGACGCGCCTCTTATGCTTTATCGTCGTCGTCGACCAATCGTCGACCGTACCATCTGTCTTCCCACTCCACCTCCCGCGCTCACATATACCGGGACTTGTTCGTCGAACGCATATGCCATACGTGCTTTCCCCATTTCCCCCTCCTTTCCCCATATCTCGTCGGTAAACCCTCCTACCGCCTTGCAGCTCGGAACGAGGCGTCCTAATCCCCAAGCACTCTGTTACAGCTGTATGCCGGCGCTTTCGAGCAACGAGCCTTCGACTCGGTCCCCTCGACGCCGGTAGACAATTGGATCCTCTGGCACCGGCATACCATAATTCTCAACCTAACCTACACAAGCTGACTCACACTCTGACTTCCCTTCCTTCGACCCGCGTCGGGGAGATGCCACCGCGTTCTGTTCTGTTCTCAAGCCCTGCGCATGGTATCCCATCAACGTCGACCAAGTGTCTGTCTCGCCAATGGTCTCACCAACCAAGTTACCAAGTTGGGAATCTCGATCGTCTGCCTGCTTGCCGATTTCCCAGCCGACGCCTGATCTGTCTCACCAACCAACTCAATCTTCTGGCCGCAACTATCAACTTGTGCGCCGACGGTGCTCGTCTTTGGCCAATGCTATCTATGACTTCATTGTGCTCTTGACCGCTGTCAGGCGACCACTGCTGCATTATTAACAAGTCCTTCGAGTCCGCGAGCTCGCAATCACGCTATATCTTTCCCCTTTGCTCCCGCTCTCATCCAAATTCAAATTCAAAATACAGGCCCACAAAATCAATTCGTGTCCATCAAGCTACATACATGTCCGCCGCTCTATATCTATCTAACGCGTCCGTGTAGCCGTGTATGTATGCGTACATCGTTTTTGGTACAGTACAATATGTATGTATAAAAACGAATCGTTCGAAAGCAAAAAAAAAATATCTATGTATGATCGAGCCTACAAGAGTGCCGATCGAAATAAATAAGTCTTCAAACTATCTCTGCCCCGTATCGTATCGTATTGTAGTATATATATCGACCGCGGCGGTGGTGGGGCACGCAGGAATGTCCGCTTCTCCGTGTATCTGAGTGTCCGTGTATCTGGATGAATGGATGACGAAAATGAAAATTGTGAGGGCCAGTGGGTGGGAAATGGTGATGGTGGGGGACGCTCGCCGTATCGTATCGTACACCAGATGAGAATCAAAATGGATGAGATAAGATGAGATGGGATGAGAGATGGTACATATGCATGAGATAAAGATAAAAAAAGAGACGACACCAAAGAGGAAAAACCAAAGTAAGTGTACACTGGTGCAATGAGGACTCGGGTGGGTCGGTGGTGGTGGTGTTGTTGTTGTTGTACATGTACACAGAACGAAAAGAGTGGGGAGGGTGAGGCGCTCAGCCAGCAGCAATATGAGGGATAAACAAGAAGAGGGTGAGGCATAGCGAGCGATCCGGATCGCCTCGCGTGCCAGTGTGCGTGCGCGTTTGCGCGTTTTCGGTCGACGTGCGCGCTGGGCTGGCGCTCCGTGCGGATACATCGTCTTCGCGCGCCTTTTGGTGTTGGTGGGTATCGATCGGCTCGCCGCGCCATCAACCCCTATCATGAACAGACACGACGCGCCCGCCGCCGACTCGCGTGTATGTGTATAGCAGCAGCACGCCGCTATCGTAGTCGTAGTCGTACAAAATCGTCTCTCGGTCATGTCGATTTTTTTATTCTGCCGTTTTCTTTTGGTTCGCCTCGCGTTGGCGTTTTCCGGGTTCGTCCCCGTTCGTATCTCGTATCGTGTCGCGTCGTCGCTTTTCGTCCATCGTCCATCGTCCGTCTTCGGCGCCGCACCTTCCCGGAACGCGCTATTGTTATCGCCCGGTGGCGTCGAGCACCCTGTCATCTCCAGCAGCCCTCGTTCGGGTCCGCTCACACCCCGACGACCTTCGCCCCGTTCCCGTTCGTGCCATTACCACCACTCGCCCCCGCAAAACACCACTGCCTCACAAACGCCTTGTACAGACTCGACGACGCGTCCGCCGCGCTGGGCAGGAGCGGTGTCGTCGGCAGGAGTGGGGACGGGCTCGTGCTCGTGCTCGTGCTCGTGCTCGTGGTCGGCGGCGAGTTCGTGCCAGGGGAGGACGAAGGGGGCGACACAGGGAGCGGCACCTCCGTCGGCTTCACCTTCCACTCCTCCTTCTCGTTCGTCGGGGTCGCCTCGTCGTCCACCTCCATGTCCATGTCCCCGTCCTTCTCCTCTATCAACTCCTTCGACTCCTTCGACGACTGAGACACAAGCCCCTCAAGCACAGGCAACAAACCCCCCGCGCCCAGCGGACTCGTCGGCGGCGTCTCCTCCCCTTCGCCGTCTTCCCCACGTCGCCCAGCAGCAAGCGACGCCGTCGACGAGGCGAGCAGGGACGACGCCGCGTCGTCGTCCGAGGACGAGTCGTCGTCGTCGTCTTGCGCTTGCTCCTTCTGTGCTGCGGGTGCTGCTTGCGTCGCGGGGAGGGTCGAAGCCGAAGTGGAATTGGAAGTAGCGAGGGAAGTGGAAGCAGACGTCGAATTCGTCACAACCGCAGGCGCCACAACCGCAGCGCCCACGCCCCGCCCCCACGGCCAATAAAGCCCCACCCCGCCCGAACTCTGCGTCCCCGGCGCGGGCTGCAGCTGCTTCTCCTCTTGTGCCTTCCCCTCGTTGTCCTTTGTCGTCTCGCTGTCCTTCTCGTCCTTCGCCTCCGCCTTGTCCCCATCCGCCTTCTCCCCGCTTGCTGCATCCACCTTCTCGCCAACCACAGGCTCGCTTCGCAACCCAACAGGCACCACAGGCGTCGCACCAGACGGCAACGAAACCGTCCTCGGCGCCGCATAGTTCCTTAAGCTCAACCTCCCCAACTTCGCAGCGAGCGCCTGCGCGTGCGCCGTGCGCGGGGGCGGGGGCGGGGGGATGGGGAGGGTTTGGGCGGGGAAAGGGGGTAGAGAAGGGAGGGATAAGGCAGGCGGGGGGCCGGGGTTTTGTGAGGGCGAGGACGAAGGATCCGAGGGTGCAGAGGTAGAGGAGGAGGGAGTCGAGGACGACTCCGCACTCGGGAAGGGAATCCCACCCGTCGCTTGGGCTTGGGCTTGCCCTTGAGTCGCAGTAGGCGCTGATGCGGGTACAGCTGCAGGCGGGTCTACGAAGGAGTGAGTCAGCATACGGTTTCGAATGAAGAAAGAAAGGAACGCGACTCACCCTCCGCCATAGCCACACACCGAAACCCAACCCGATAATCCCGCCCCCCATTAT